GAGAGAGAGAGAGAGAGAGAGAGAGAGAGAGAGAGAGAGAGAGAAAGAGGGAGAGAGAGAGGGAAGGGGGAGAGGGAAGAGCCAGACAGTTCGCCTGCGCTGGAGGTTCGTTTCGCCATTGTCGCTTCGTTTGAAGCGCGGCGTCTTTACATTAGGCGTGCAAAAACCGGTTTCGTTCGATTCACTGGCGATGCGGCGGGCGACCGTGGCGTGTTGTATGAACGCCGTTTGTTTTAACGGCGTGTCTAGATCCCCCCCCGTCTGTATCTCCGCCCACGGGGCACCAATCGAGCCAGGACACGCACGGCTGTGTTGCTGTGATGTAGGGCTATCGCGAGATACCTCGTACAGCGGAAACGGTGCAGGTTTGGTGCAGCCATGGCTGATGGGCAAAACATATCTGTTGTCCCAACCTGCCCCCTGGGGGGGGATTAGTGTCTAAATCCCCCCCCGTCTGTATCTCCGCCCACAGGGCACCAATCGACTGACGAACACCGGTAGAAGTGTGTGAAAACATGCACGTACAGCGCACAGCAGCGGGCAGCAGGTGAGGCGACCATCACATCAAGTATTCCTGCCCACAGTTTTACACACACCCAGTGGGATGCGAACACCGCCGTCTCACTGGTGGGGTACATTATGGCCCTGCTTACCCCCCCAGCGGTATGTCGTCACACAAGACTTCCGTCGACACAGGACATCTCAACTGTGTTTCTTCGCTGTAGGGCTACCGTCCACCGTATGACCCATCGTTAGCCCAAACGACGCAGCCCGAAGGGTTCCGTTCAGGTGGTAACACCGCCATTGGGGTAAACTACGGATGTGCTCCTGCAGGGGGAGGGGGGGGGTATGTCTAATACCCCACCATGGACTTCGCACCTCTGTACAAGGCTCTGATGGCCGCACAAGAACCGCGGTAGAAGTGTAAAAGATGATGAACGCACAACACACAGCACGCAGCAGCACTGCACCCTGCTGTGATCGCTACGGCTATGCATTGTACTGTGCCCAAATGTAACGTTCATCACATCAGGGATTGATGACTCATTCGTTTGTTCTCGCTTTCCGAAACAAAAACAACGAAGAAAAAAACAAAGACAACGCAAACACTCACAAACGATCGCAAACAATCCCAAACCTTTTGAGACATCGGTGATGAACGTATGTTCGCCGCCACGAACGTGTTGCCTCCCGGTCAACAATGCGACGTGAAAGTCAGACTAAGGTACACACCGTTTTTCATACCGACCGTTTCCATACATTCTGTCTGAACACAGACGCTCGAACATGTCCCCACGCAACCGCGGACAGCGATGAAAAAAGCAATAGACGGAAAATAACTGGTCAGGTAAACGCGTGTGGAAGTGACGGGACAAGAGTAGCTGGTTAGGTGCTGGTATCAGCGCCTTTCAGCTTTCTCCTCTTGTTCGTCCGTGGCACGTCGCTGAAGTCCCTCATCCTCCTAGTCTGACGGGATTTTCCTTTCTGGCCCGCAGGGTTGCCAGCTCCCTCTTTGCCGTCCTCCTTAGGTCTCCCTTTCTTGGGTGCTTGCCCAAGATTCTTGGGTCCTTCTGTGCCTCCCGCGGTCTCCTTCAGAAGATACCCGAGGAAATCGTCAATCTTGACCTGGACGGACAGTGCTTGGTGAAGGGGTACGGACCTCATTACATCTCCTACGTTCTCCTTGCTCTTCGCCATGAGATGGGCGTAGAAGCGACGATTGTCGGCAGCGCTTTTTTCCTGCGCGGCCCGCACCGCGCGTTCAGCGGGGTGTGCGCCATCGAACGATTGGTCGCATGTCGGTCCCCAGCAGTGGTCATCGCTTCCTTGGTGATGCCCGTCCCATCCTTCGCCGTGGCCAGACGACGACAGCACTAATGAGACGCTCCATGGCAAAACCTTTCCGTCGTCTGATTGACGCCAACGGTTGTGGACACACGCACCGTCGAAGGCATGCGTAAAGCTCAACTCGTCCCCCCCGCCAGTTCTCCCGATGAGGTTGACAAGAACCGCGAAGTAGCGCCTGCAAGGCAGTCCGCGCCGCAAAAGCTGTAAACAGGAACACAAATGGAAGCTGTGAGGCCCGAATGCGACGAGGTGGCTAGGATTGTTCGCCGAATACTTGTATCGAACGGCCGCGACCAGTTCGATAGGGAAGCCGGCGATCAATTCCAACAAAGCTGGCAGCGATGTACGAGCCCACATGGTGTTGTCCTCTGCAGGTTCGTCAGCTAACGAGTCTCTCTCCAGATCGGTATCAGGTGGTGCGACCTGGAGAATGTTGAGCTTGAGGCGCAAATTGCGTATCTGGACAAAGTCGTCGTCGTGTAGAGGAAGCGGTTGTCCGTCTTCGTCCACATTTCCGGAAGTCACCAGTTCGACGTCATACGACTCCAATCCGTCGACCTGAGCTCTGATCTCCTGCGACAGAAAAAGATCGAACGAGTATGGTCGGTGCAAAGACGTACAGTTCCGGCGTATATTTGGGTTTAGATTGGGCTTTGACGACGTCTGTTTGTGGTCAAGCTCGAGAAGTCACGGGCACACAATTGTCCGAAATCAAGAGCAACGATTCAGCGTCTTATGCACAAATACATGCCCCAACACGCCTTACTTTCTGGCAGTACTGGCTGGCACCACAGGCCAAAAGCTCTTGCTTCACGGGCTGGAAGAATTCCTCGACGAGCTTGTCCCGGAACGCCACCCCAGGGGTGATTGGGGGGGTCGCTAACCTGCATGCATTGCATCGGAGTGCTGCATGAAATAAGGTGTATGATATGTGGCGACGGGCGAGGTTCATGTATAACGTCAACAACCATCATTATCCTTGAGCGTCTAGTTAATTTACCTACTAGGGATCGGTAACATACAAAGTCACCTCGCACCTCGCTGTCTCGATGGCAATCATCTTGCTCAGGTGTTGCAGGCGATCCCAAAGAGCGCACAGTGAAAGCTTCTTCTCGACACCCGAGCGCTTCGCCACTCCGAATAAACCTTCCGTGCGCTGAGTGGCAACCATGCCTAGCGTGAGGACAGTGGGCCGGCAGCAGAACGCCCACTTCGTCTTGTTTCTGCGCACATCAACGGCGCCGACAATATAGCGAATTGGCGAATTTTGAGCGTGGAGACGTGGCCATCATACTTCAACCCATCATATCAACCGAATGCAGGCATGTCCCCCAACTAAACAGCTGGAACATACTCACGTTATCAAATCGGTCATGTAACCTTCGCACTTCTTCCCGGCCACCAGGGTTTCCAACCGAGCCGCTTGCGTCGAGAACGCCTGCCGCCAAACCCAAATGGATGAAACACTCTGAACCCTTACCCTTGTATGGGCGCCCGTCAGCCTGTGCATGACATCCCCCTCCTCGTCCGCCGTCATTTCTTTCCGCTCTGGACCAAGCATAGCGTCTGCTAGCTTCCCCTTTGAAGACGTGGCCGCCTCCTTCGCTTTACGCATCAACGTCCTGAATTTCGTTATAGCGCGGTCCTTCGCGACGAGGGCGCCGTCATCCGACAAAGCCACGAAGTGGTTTAGCTCGGGAAGGTTGCTTATCACGTACTCTAGGTATCCATTCGCATTCTCGAAGGGCAGGTTGTAGCTGGAGCTGTAACACATGGTCATGGCCACGTGGAGCGTAGGCCTGCTCGCCGTTTCCCACAACGGCAGAAACAGCGTGTGCTTCCACGGCCCTCCCTGAGCATCGTTCAGGGAGTTGACTGCAACAGTCCGAGCGCGAGAGGAGGCGGCCACAAAATGCATCCCAAACACGACATGACGGAAGTGTCGTTAGCGTGTCACCCACCCGTTTTCCCGTTTTCCGTTTTCCTTTCGTTTTCCTTTCGGGTATTGCGGCGCCCATCCAATTCGTACATGAAAACTGGGCGGGTCATCGGCAGGCACCCAAAGAACTAACAACGATCCTACTACCGGGACAATTACACTGCGTGTTGGTGCGTGTTGCGGCGAGGCGATGAGCTGATGTGTCGGATGGACTTGCTGCGATATCAAACCGGTGATACTAACTAGTATGCATCTACCGTAGTCCTCCACCAGACACACTCACATGGCAGAAACACTCGCAGGGGAGATTGAACGACTGTGGCGAGTATCGGAAAGACAAACTGTTGGAGCCATACCCCAGGCTTTGCTATGTTCCGTAGCTGCGCAAGGAACATCAGCCGCGCGCATTTTGACGACCCGACGTGCCAGTTGTTGTCGGGGTCGGGTGCCACATCCCACCCGTTCTTCGCCAGCCTTTCCCGCACATCCGACGTGTAGTTGTACCATGCCCCGAAATGTCGTCCTGCTCCAGCAGGAATAGCCCCATGTATATCAGCCCGAACAGCACGACGCTGAGTCGAAGCTTCACCGCGATTGTCTTCACAGCACTTCTGACCCCTTGACCTCCGTCTTTGGCGAAGAATGCCGCCACAGAATTCAACAAGCAGTCGCCTTTGCCGTCGCTCTCGAACGGAGTGCCCACGCCCCCACCATCTTCGGGTTCAATCCCGTTGAGGAGAGCCGCGGTGAACTTGTCCTTAAACAGGCCCTTGGCCACAACCTCCTCTGCGGTCTGGACGGGAATCAAGGAGGATGCATTTTCGGCGATAAACACAAATTTCACGGATCGGCAACGCTGAGAAACATGACGGCAGTGAAACTGATGGTGAAACCGGATTTCTATGAAACGGAGAACGTACAGTATACATGGAAGTGACCACGTATGGAACACGAATGGCACAACAGAGCGAAAACAGCTCTCTCTATATAGTACATGGGATTGACTATGCTGCTACGGGCAAGTCACACATTAATCCTTCCAATACGAGGCTGCTACCCCACCTCCCATACAACAACATCGTGACGGAACATGTCGGAACATGTTTCGAACATGTTTCGTACACTCCGTTCGGAAAAAAGAAAAATAATGCTCTGTTTTGTTGATAATAGAGCATGGAGCGTCAATGATTGTGGACCCGACCTTACGCACACACCTGGGACGCATCTGGCAGCAGTTCGCCGACAATGGGATCTTCCCGCTTGGAGACCCACTCCATCACCTTCCGCAGCTTCTCACCTCCGACGGGTATACCGCTCGTGTCAGGCGAAGACGGGTGGAGGACAAAGTCTAGCATCCCACGGACCTTTGCCAACGCTTGAAGCTGAGAGCTCGACATGCATCTTGCCGGTACTATGCGCTGTTGATACGCTGGCGTATTGAATAGGCCCGGATTCGGTGCTGATACGCTGGTGGCGTATTGATCCCACAGAAAGACCACAGCGACCGCAGGTCCGCAGGTCTGCAGGTTTCCACACTATTTTTCCGATTTTTTTGCGGGCAAGGCGGCGGGGATCCTGTACTAGGTCCCCCCCCCCCTTGTGCCATGTCTCTCGGTTGCTGTGCTGCAGTGGTGTAGTGCAGCTGTGTGCTGTGTGTTGTGCGTGCATCATCTTGTCACTTTTACTGCGGTTCTTGTGTGGCCATCGGAACCTTGTACAGAGGTACAAGGTCCATGGTGGGGTATTAGACACATTTCCCCCCCCACCCAGCACAACCGTAGTTTAGTTTACAGTTGGCGCCCGCAGTTAAGAAACGCTTATTTCAGGTCCAGTCTCGGATTCTTATTGTGGGCTATAAACTCAGCATATGTCGTTCAGTTTCTTATTTCAAATTTCATTTTTTTTCGTGCAGCCAAATCCTCCTGCTGAATCTCATAATTCGGCAATTTCTTATTCCGTTTCTTAATATTTCTCTGCTTGCATACTACACAACCTTCCAAATATATTTACAAATGATTTGCTACTTTCCTCGACCCCCGTACTCAACCCCGATTCTCACTACCGACAGCTGCACGTAAGGCCTGGCGTTTCGAGTCTACAGGGCAAGACCTAGAATGAATGTTTTCGTATTTCGAACAATCCATCGCTTCAAGGACAGAAGATTAAAACAACGGCGTGTCTAAATCCCCCCCCGTCTGTATCTCCGCCCACGAGGCACCGATCGAGTCAGGACACGCACGGCTGTGTTGTCCCTGTGATGTAGGGCTATCGCGAGATACCTCGTACAGCGGAAACGGTGCAGGTTTGGTGCAGCCATGGCTGATGGGCAAAACAGATCTGTTGCCCCAACCTGTCCACTGGGGGGGGATTAGTGTCTAAATCCCCCCCCGTCTGTATCTCCGCCCACAAGGCACCAATCGACTAACGAACACCGGTAGAAGTGTGTGAAACATGCGCGTACAGTGCATAGCAGCGGGCAGCAGGTGAGGCGACCAGCACATCAAGTATTCCTGCCCACAGTTTTACACGCACCCGATGGGAACCGAACGCTGCCTTCTTCTCTTCTTGAGGCAGACTTCCTTCAGCTACACGATCCCACCGCTGTATGTAGCCCTTCTTCCGTCGACACACAAACCGCCCCCCCCGGTGTTTGCCATCGGGGTTGGGTTTTCGGTGTTTAACACCGGTACGAGCGTCTGGAACATGCACGTACAGCACACAGCAGCGGGCAGCAGGTGAGGCGACCAGGACATAAAAAGCATTCCTACCCACAGCTGTACAGTAGAAACCGAACTCTGCCTTCTCACTGGTGGGGCAAAAGCCTTGTTTAACCCTCACAGCGGTATGTTAATACACAAGACTTCAGTCGACACAGGACATGATCAAATGTGTTGCTTCGCTGTAAGGCTACCGTATGACCCATCGTTAGACCCACCGGTTCCGTTCACGTGGTACCACGGCCGGTGGGGACCACAGCCGGTGGGGTACATTTGGCGCCCGCAGTTAAGAAATATTGAGGCATTGAGGCTCACTTTTTCACGAACAATATGAAAGTAGGGTTAAGAACCATAGCTTAATCTGGGTCACACAATAATAAGAAATGTCTCAAAAAGATAGGAAGGGAGCGGGGGGCGCAAAAGGGTGACAACCCCCGATGTTCGCCTCACGGAGCTTGCATCATAATGACGGGGTAGTTTTCGTTGTTGGGCACGTCAGCGTGCGGGTGAGGCATCATGCGGTGTCCATGCATTTGTTTAGTTTCAGCCCTCACTCATGAGGGGGGTACAGGACCTTGTAGCGATAGCGAGACGTTGCCGCTGGATACATTTCACTTCTAGTCAAGAGCCGGTACCTCATAGTCCAATTCATCTCAACTACGGAACCCCCTTGTGCCTGCAATCTGTCGAGGAAAGTTCTTTGCCTGAAATAATCTGTTATTTAATGTGCGACAACACATAACGGCCCACCTGCTCGCATTGCCAGATTTGATCCGAACCCTTGACTGCCATATGAATATCCCTCCCAATGACACGAAGTCCATCATCAGACAAGATCCACAATAATCAACTCCATCGCATTGTCGTCATCAAAATAAAGACCATTAAACCAAAAACACTAGTCAGCATTTTCCATCGGTCAATGCTGGACTCGCCTCGATATAAATCATACCCAAAGAGGTCAAAAGATCAATCAAAAACCAAACAAAAACCAAATCAAATCCAACCAATAATCAAGCCAAACACAAATATAGAAACCAGCCAAGAGAAAACCAGATATGAAAACCCACCCCGAGACGATCACTTCAAGTTCATCACAAAGTCCCGGTGGAAAGAAAACTCGTTCTCCGGCAACACCTTGGTGAGAAAATCTGCGTGCTGATACATGGAGGACACGTGAATCATATCGATCTCTTTCTCTTCTAGGCGCTCCCTCAAAAAGTAAGTGGTGGCGTACATCGATGTGCTTAGAGTTGGAGTTGGAAATGGGGTGCTTGGCGATCTGAATAGCTCCCTCGTTGTCCTCGAACACAGGAGTGCACCGTGCACCAGCCCCTTGCAACATTTATCCCCACACCTGCTTCAAAAAAATCAACTCCTTCACGAAATCACCCATCGCCACATAACGGGACGCAGAGGCATGTCGGGGCGCTCCAACGGCGGCTCCTGGTCGATAAGCGCCGAATCAATCTCCTCCCGCGTCGTGAAGCGCACCGCCATCGCTAACGGCACACCCGCTCCTGAGGGACCAACCGACCAACCACCCCCAACGTCCAAAAGCTCCTTACCCGGCGAAGACGCCTCGTTCTCTTCCACGCCCCCCCCCCTTGCATTCCTCCACGCCCCCGTGCTGCTGATCCCCCGGGCGCCCATCCTTCAGTGCTTGTTCTACGGCCCGGATCGTCTCCCACACGTCACCGTTGGCAAGAGCGAGAAGGCCCATGCTGTGGTGGTCGCGTGAAGATGGCGGTGGCAGGGGAGCGGAGACAGCTCCTACGGTACTGGTGAAAGCGGCTGCACTGTCGCCTCCGGTTGCGCTGCCCGCGTCTCCGATCTTGTCCGTCCGGGAAGGCGCCGGTCTCCCTGCTCCCCGAGGTTTCTCGTGGCGTGTGGCGAAAGGGGCGGCATGCCCGAGGGCGGAGTTGGTGGCATTCTCCGAGCGTATTAGCGATGCTCTTGAGGCTGCGGAGACGGGGACGGCGATGCTCCCGGCTGTGGCGTCGAGGCTCCCGAAGAAGGCGAAAATAGCTCGGTAGACGGCCCCCCACCGATAGATGACGGGGACCATGCCGGCAGCGGCGATGGTGCGGAGTGTGGTGATGAGGCAGCAGTACCGGGTGGCGACGGGGACGGTCACCGGTAGCGGCAGTGGGCGTGGCTACGGTAGACGACGGCTGCGGCTGCGGCTGACCCGGCGCGGCGGCAGTTGGCAAGGCTGCAGGCGGCGCGGAGAGCGGTAGCGGCGGCGCGGTCCTTCCGGCTGACGACGGCGCAGGCGGTTGCGGCAGGCCCTGAGCGGCGGCAGGTGGCAAGTCTGCAGGCAGCGTGGGCAGCGGCAACGGCGGCGCGGTAGCATTGGTCGACGGTGGTGAAGGCGACGACGAAGACGTACCCGGTGCGGCGACAGGTGGCAAAGCTGCGGCAGGCCACGGGGCAGTCGGCGGTGGCGGCGCGGTCGAAGGTGCTGGCGGCGAAGAAGCGGCTGGCGGCGGAAGTGGGGCGGCGGCGGTAGGCACAAGCTCTAAAGCAAAGCGTGGAGTCGAAGGCACGGGAGCGGGCGGGGAACGTGGTTTACTACGCACGACCCCCCCCCCCGACCGGTGACCGTGATGTCCACACAACGTTGCTGGCGTAGCAGACCCGACCCGTGGCGGCTTTGAGGACCTTGAGGCAGAACTCGGCGTGGTTGTCGCCGCTGTTGAGGTAGTGGCACGGCACGGCATCGTCGGCGAGCTTGTGTGCCCGCGGGACCCACATCAGCCCCCGCTGGAAGAACGGCAGCATGCGACAAGGTCCCTTCTTCCCCGTGAACATCTCCTGCGGCGAGCGGCGGTCAGGATTGGCGGTAATCGCGGACTGGTTGAAGGCGTCGACGGCCCAGCGCGATGACTCTGCCCAGAGCTTGTCGCCGCGACGGTCAAGCCCGGGCAGTGATGCGAAGCCGTTGGGGCCAAGAAGACTTTCTGCGTAGCGGCGGGCGGCCTTCCCTGCCTTGGTGGCGCGTCAGATAGCGCTCTCCACGACCCCGTTGTACTTGGAGACACCAGGCGGGGTGAACTGCGCGGCGATGCCGGCGTTGGCGCAGAAGTCTATGAAGGGCTTGCTGGTGAACACGGCGTCGTTGTCCGCCTGCACGCACGTCACCGGACGACCTGCCTTGCGGGAAAAGTCGATCAAGGCTCGCTTGAACAGGATGAGGCAGTCGAGCTTGTGGCGCGCGGTGTAGTTCATGCAGTACCGCGAGAAGCTGTCCACCACGTAGAGCATGTAGTGTTTGCCGCCGATGGTGGTCGCGTACGGGCCGCAGATGTCGATCCCACCTTCTGGTTCGGTGCCACCGCTCGCCCCTCGCCGCCCGTCGGTGAGACGTCCGCCCGATGCCCTTGGCGACCAAGCAAACGTCGCAAGAGCGCATCTTCCGCGTCAGCTTCAGCCCCTGATCACGGGCGGTCACCCTCATCAAAAATTCGCACAAGTGGCCAGTTTCGAGGTGGAAATCGTTAATATCGATCACGTCTCGGCGGTTGCCCACGTTGAACGGATTCTTGCCGGGGGCCACGACAGCACGCACACATCCCGCACTCTCACGCCAATCAAAGAAACTCGCAATCTTTTCAGCTTCCTGCTTACTTATGCTG